AAAGATAGACAAACGAACAAACTATAATATTTTATTATGTATTTTCAACCCACCCATTATTGATGAGTGCCTGATTCCACCGCGTCGTATATATATATCCTCATTACCCTTCGTTTCGAAACTAGGAGGAAGTACGATAACTGTACCTTCATTGTAATTCTAAAATAAGCCGTCACAAAGCTCATGGCCATTGTCTTGATGATGACCAGAAAAGCATAGCCCATGTACATGCGGAAGATCGGGTTGTCCAGAGAAAGTGCCGCTGCAGCCATCTTTCAAACTTGGGTTGAGTCTCTCAAGGAAGAAACCGGTACACTTTGTTGCTGCAAGGTTCAATTCGTTCCTGAACGTTCGATGAATCTATAAAAAGACACATGGCATTAAATTAAGATTTATTCAGAAGTGTTGTTCAAGTGCTTTACATGTACTAAGTGATTATGAGATAGCTCTAACAGTGGCTATCCACATTCCAGTTGATCAAGAGGGGAAAGTGGGAGGAGAGTTGTTGGACTATGAGTCTGCTGGCAGTAAGTCTGTTTGTATGCACAACAGATGGAACATCCAATTTGTTATGCTTCAGGCAGTCAGGGAAAGAGGAAAGCCAGTGTTGACTATAGTGGAAGGAGCACTAACCAATATGTCACGATGATGCTCTTTATTGCACGTGTTTTACGCCCCCATCAACTCATCAACATAATCTGGACCACTTCGACTGCTGTCAGTGTAAGACTCCGTCATAAGTCATTTTTCACAACGGCAAATAGCAGAGTCCTACACAAAGCAGTTGATTTGGGAGATGGGCTACTTCTAATGTGCCTGTGTGGGTCAACCCAGGCTGTGAGGGATACAACATTCCAACAAATAGACGAATATATTTTTGATTGAATAAATTCCCCCTAGGGAATTGAATTCATGCCTTTTGTGTACAATGGCAAAGAGCCTAACTGCTGCACCACAGGTAAGCTAATTGAGACATGAAGAAATAAGCACTGGACATAGACCTTTAACTAATTTTGATACACTTTAGCCAAACGTTATAAAGTTGTAGATGTGTGTGTGTATGTGTGTGTGTGTGTGTGTGTGTGTGTGTGTGTGTGTGTGTGTGTGTGTGTGTGTGTGTGTGTGTGAGAGAGAGAGAGAGAGAGAGAGAGAGAGAGAGAGAGAGAGAGAGAGAGAGAGAGAGAGAGAGAAAAGAGAGAGAGAGAAAGAGAGAAAGAGAGAGACAAGAACTGCTACAGAGTGAGAGGCAAATTAAAATTATATAATAACTATATCCAAGAACTTTTGTCATTGAGGTATCCGTGAACAGTTTGGCAAGACTTCTTGAGGTAGATAGCAAGGCTTATCAGACCAGTGAACATGTCTTATTTCAAAAGGCCCTTATGCTTCCACACCAGTACACCTGGACAATAGGATGTCAGTCTGAAACTAATTTTTGTACACTTTAGCCAAGAGCAGAGCAGGTGAGTATGATCTAGCAGGAGAGAGGAGGGCGAAGGAGAGATAGAGCAAGGGGGGAGGGGGAGAGATAGAGAGGGGAGAAGAGATAGAGAGGGGAGGGGAAAGATAGCGATGGGTAGGTGGAGATAGGGGAAGGAGGGAGGGGATATGTGTGACTGTGTGTGTGTATGTCTGTGTGTGTGTGTGTGTGTGTGTGTGTGTGTGTGTGTGTGTGTGTGTGTGTTGTGCTGCCTTAACGCTACATAAAACATTACATAACGCTGCGCTTTAGTAAAACGGAAGCGGGAACATGTGGAGATATCAGTTTTGTGCATACTTTACTCAGTCATCTCGCTCCTCTTCTCCTGGGATGTTGCATCCCTCTCAACCCTGGTTGGTCCTGACAGGCAGAGTCCTTTCTCGCCTTCTTAACACCTTGGGGACCAGCGACGTGTATTTACACGATGGCAATAATCCCCTCATTCAAGCCAGTCCATTAAAAATTATCCATGTTTTCAAATGCTTGTTCAAGTGCAGAAGAGATCTTTCCCTTTGGAATTCACCGAAGTTGACGCGAGTTTGAGTTGATTAGAACTGACAAAATGTATTCGAAACGAGTATAATTTACAAGGGATGTGGGAATAGGATCAGCTGGTGTGGGGCCGGTCCCGAAGGTGTTAATGATCCAAATTGTGTTGATGTCGACGTAAACACCCCTTGGCTTTCTCGGTTACTGAGAAAGCCGAGAAACACCCACATTACAAAAGTGGTTCTGGAGGAAGTAAAGTGACGTGTTGCTCTAAGAATCTTAGAAGACCTGTGTGGGGTGCCTTAAAGATAAAAATCAAATCTTGAGATCAAACTTTCTTTTTGTTTTCTTTTATTAGTAGAGGGTTCTACGGCGCTCGCAACTGCATAAGGTCATATGAGCGCCAAGGGGTGGGTGTCAACAGAGAAATCTTTACAGGGAATCAGACTTAGACTGCTCACATCTCTAGCTTCAACAGCACAAAGTCTGC